GGGTGTGGACTGCTTGTTGGTCTAAACTGCATTTTCAGTGCAGGTTTTGTTCCCGGGGTGAAGGGACTGAAGACGGCCGAGTGCATCACACCGCCCACAGAGCCCTGAAGCGGAGAGCGGTGCAGTCGGGAATGCACGGTTTGCTCGCAGGCTGGGCAGCCCAGCAGCTTGGGCCAAGAGCAAGAGCTGCATGACCCCAGCCTAGCGACAAAAAACCAGGCCTCACGTCAGAGGGAGTGAACCGGGAGGGGCACAGGGGTGCAGCTTGGCACACCCCAACCTGAGAGATACAGAGACATGGGCCTGCCCAAACGCCCGTCAGCAAAGGCGATGCACCCTGGGACTCTGGTCTTGGTGGGAACATGCCCAAAAATAATAATGCAGGCAGGTGAGGGAAGAAATACCCTCAGGTGGACTTCTGTGAGCCCCATCCCTGACTTCCTCCTATGGCACATGAGAGATGAACCCCAAGGCGTGTGAGTGTCTCTGCTTGGACGGAAACCTGACGTGAAGGCACAAAGGGAGGTCTAAATGGCCTGTCCCAAGGCCCAAACTGTCTCTGCAAAGGCACCTGGATGGGGAACGCCAGCCAGTGACCGTGCTTTGGGAGCCAGTCGCCCTGCAGCCATCCCCCCCCACCATGTGCCCAGCCCCTCCTCAGTCTTTGTTCTGGGTGGTGCGAGGCATCCTTGGGCCCAACCGTGCAACTTCTCTCAAGATCACAGGAGCCTGCACATTATGTGCCTGCATCTTGCTGTTGCCAAGTGGGATCCTCAGAGGAGCAAAGTGCTTCCTTCCTTCAAGCTCTTGAGAGCAGAAGGATGCATCCTCCCAGCGAAGGATGCATGTGCAGCAGTGGTGTTTTCTTGCCGCAGACTAGATGACGTGGTTCCCGGGGCACAGCATTAAAACAAGAGAAAGACACCGTTTTATTTTATTGCACCAGCAAGCCTACAAGGATCGCAAGTCCTTCAGGGTCCCAGATGAGCTGAGGCGAGGACTTCGTGTGGTATCTGCCGAGGGGAAGACGGGATAGACCAAAGGGCAGTGCGGCGGTCCTCGTGCGAATCGGTGCCAGTAAGGATTCAGCATTCGCCGTAATGGCTCAAGGTGAGAGCCCTGTTGCTTTGGCTGGAGGGAAAGAGAGGGATACATGGGCCTGGGATAGTACACGCTGCAGGCTATTGTGAATATTACAAGAAGGATGGAAATTTTAATTCATTCCTGAGGATCAAGTTATCACTGGGAAATACTTTTCTCATGCAGCAAAGAGCATCAGGTAGCATCAGTGGGTGAAAGCCTGTTGAAGTTAATGGAGAGGGACCCACGATCACTGCACCACGCAACGGGGACCTTGATATTTTTAGATGCAAGAAAAGAGCCCCTGGATTAGTTCCTGCTTTCCCCTTCTGCCAGAAATCCCCACCACATGCCAGTAAGTCAAGGCCCCTTGCAGCAGGCACACTGATGATTCAGGTTAAGCATGGAGAAAGAGAGATGTGCACGTACACGACCGCGTTGCAGAAAAAGCATCGGTTGCCATATGTCTGGTTGTCAGAGCCGCAGTGGGGCTGGTACAACAGGGCACAGATCGGATTGATTTCACGGACATTGCTGCAGTCATCCTGCCGGCAGAAAATGATACCACATTGGGTGAGGGCCTCACAAGGAATGGAAACGGGTCTCTCAGGGACTACCAAAATAATGATGGCAATCGGCTTTGTTGCCGGTCAAGAGTCCCTGTCCACCTGATCTCCCTGCCTCTGAAGTGAACAGGAGCAGGACCTGGCGCTTATTCAGCATCAGCTTTGGATTACCTTGGGAGGGTCCTTCGCGCATGGGCCGCTATGCTGTCTGTCAACCTTGGGCTCAGTGTGCCTGGAAGTGGGAAAGAGAAGCGTTAGGGGGGCCTGCTCTCTGTTACAGCCGGGGATCAGGTTTGCAGAGCGCAGGGGATACAGGATGGATTTAGCCCATCGCCTTCTCCCCAACGTGACCAGCCGCAGGACACAACAGGTGCCATCCCCTGGCAGTGCATCCCTGGCACAGTGCTCTGCCCTGTGGCTGATGGCCCCGAAGGAAAGTTTTAGCTGCAGGACTTACAGGTTGTGGTTACACAGTTTACACTCGCTGTCATACGTTTCCCCATCCGTGCCGCAGATCGGGTCGTAGAGTATTGTGCAGGCAAGCGCTGTGCCGTTCTCGGTGGTTATCTCACGGTACTTGCTGCAATCAAGCTGTAAAAGGAAAATTAAGCCGCAACACTGCTGCAGCCTCCGGCTGATGGGACGGAGCGTCAGCGCTCGGCTTCCCGCGTCTGCCCAGGGACTGCCCGGGGAAAGGGTTTCTGCCGGCTCTGCTCTGTCTGGGACTTGCCCCATGATCCACGGTGCTTGTGGACAGCCCGGGGTGACTGAGCCTCTCGGCACGCAAGGGAGCCATGGCGTGCTCCCAGCCTGCTCTGCCTGCTAGCCCAGGAAACCCCCGCATGTGCGGAGGGGATGGCACTGATATCTGCCAGGGAGCAGGACCTGCCCCTGATTCAGCATCAGCTCTGGATTACCTTAGGAATGTCCTCTGGGCACAGGCCACTATGCTGTTTGTCAACCTTGAGCTCGGCCTCCCTGGAAGTGGGAAAGAGAAGAGTTAGGGGGGCTGCTCTCTGTTACAGCCGAGGATCAGGTTTGCAGAGCGCAGGGGATACAGGATGGATTTAGCCCATCGCCTTCTCCCCAACATGACCAGCATCAGGACAGAATAGGTGCCATCCCCAATAGAGGAAGAAGGGATGTCTGGAGAAGGGTGACTGCACCCGAAAGCTTGCCAAGAACTTTTTTCCAGCTACTCAGTTGGTCTAATAAAAGAGATCACATCTACCCAAAGTACCTTGCCTGCCTGTGTCTTCAGACTGACACGGCTACAACCGAAAATCCCCTGCCAGAGCACCGCTTGCACAATGCTCTGACCTGTGGTTCATGGCTGGGGAGTCAAGTATTAGCTGCAGGACTTACAGGTTGTGGCTACACAGCATACACTCGCTGG